GCATTTCACGCCTAGTTTCCTTGGCCCCAAGGCTTTCGGGGTAATTATCATGGTATTTCCATTCGCAGGCCCCTGGGCATGGCAATCTGGAAGGGACGGATTTGGACAGTTTTGATCCACTACATGTTTGGAAAATGTTTCGCTGCCTCAGGGAAGAGAAACATATTTTCTAATATTTTTTAAACACATTTGTAGAGTTTTATCAAATACTACTTTTTGGACAATGTTTAACAGATAAAGTAATGCTGGGCGTAAACACGCTTCCTGCTGCTGTCTGCCATTGCAGCGAAAATGCTTCACCGAGAACACTGATTTTAAGTGATGGAGGAATAGTAGAAAATGTGAGCAACATAAACTGTGTCAGTGGAATAGAAGTGCTTCATTAAGTCGGACACATTTATCAGTCCCTGTCTGGCCTGGATGCTGCGTTATAAAGTTTTTCGCTGGGGCGGTCAGTGTTTGATCTTGGTCTCTACAAAGCCCAGCGATGCTCCATCAGTGCCCAGGAGCTCGGCGGCGGCGGCTGTTTTCAAACCGCCAAACATCAGAGGAGAATCAGTCAGTCTTTTCTGTCCTTGACTCCGACACACTTACTGAAGGACAAAGCCTCTAGCGCTCGCTCTGCTTTCATAAAAAATACATGCAGCATCAAAAAAGGGCAGGTATCGAGTGTCACAGTTGCTCGGCTGCGCGTGCAGTAACAGGAAGCTGCTGCTAAATATAATAGCAGTGTTAATGAAGTCCCGTATGTTTGTGTGAATATATGTGTTGCTGTGAAAGCGAAACCCACGGCTGCATCTTTGCTGTGTCTCCCAGCTCACTGGACGCAATCACATGCTGCTCATATAAACCACCACACTTAGAGTAAACAAATACGCCAGCGAGTGATATTGCAGATGGGTTAAAGACGTAAAATAATCAACAAACACTGACATCTCAGTCTGCGTTTCCCACAAGACTTATAAATCTTAAATGGCAGTCAGTTTGGTTTTCCTCCTTCCCCACCTGCCAACCTGTGCCAGAGCTTACTTTATTGTCAACTCATGCATAATCCATTCGCTGCACACCTTATCAAAAACCCCAGACTCAAATAAATCTGACCGTATTATTTGCAAAGGCTGAGAACCGTCAAGGAACTTTTCCCTTTTTTTTTTTTTTCCTTTCCCTCCACAAGAAAATAAAACTTTTGCTCTCTAAGTCGTTTGGCGCTCCTTTTTTAATATATTTTTAAACCTCAATTTATCTACCCAAACATGAGTTCTCAAGTGGAGGACCACAGTGCACGGACAAAGTGCCCACAAGCACATATCCAAAGAGGATTTTCGAAGAAGACAAATGAACTTGAGTGGAGCTTGAGGAGAGAGGCCAAAGTGGGGCCGGCAACAGTTAAAGATGTGTTGCTCTCTAAAGAAGCAGCTGACTAACTCTGAATTCTAAGCAGAGGAAAGTTCTGCTTCTTTTTTTTTTTTTTTTCTCCCGAGGCACTAAAAGACCAGTTGTGTTGTCTAAGAGGGCCAGATGGGCCTGCGCTCTGTGACTAAACTCTGGGCACATACACACCTCCAGGACCCTCGAGCTGATCAGCATTCAACGCGAACGCTCACCGTTTTCCCCTTTCCTCTCTTCCTACACTCTCCTTTCTCCGCTCTGCTGATGGTTCCCCGGGGAGGACGGGAATCGCTGCTGTTTATCCACTTATTCCTCGGGGGGAAAAAAAGGAGGCTCAGCCAGCGGGAGACAAACAGAGGTAGAGGGTGATGCTGAGCACAAACGCCGAGCTGGACCTTAACGCTGTTAGCAAACATGGCGGCAGGGAGACCAAACACCCCCCAGACATTATAAAGCTTACACTTTCCCCTTTTATTCCCCAACAGACTGAGGTAACCTTCCTACGACTGCTCTCAGAGTTTAAACCCCTTAATCCTGTTAACCATGCACTGCACAAAAAGGTACCCGAGCTGCACAAACTCACTCCTTTATTTAACTAATAGCATGATATGAAAGCGGTTTCTGGAATGAATCCCAGTTCACTTTCACTTCTGCAGTGACAAGGCGTTTTGAGCCTCGCGGCGAACACAGATCGATGGCGCAAATGAATCATCGGTAAGGTATGTGCAAGCAAGCAGAAAGAAAAACAAACATGCATGTGCCAGATAGCATGCGCAGTATCTTTTGAACAGTGCGAGAGACTGAAACGCGACACCACATGCAGCATGAAGAAGCCTCTTAAGAACACCTGCGCTGCTGCACTCACCGACGCTCTATTGTGATCTGATGAGGCCGGGGAGAAAGAGCAGGCCACACACATATTGTCTGAGCACCTCGCTTTGTTCCCGTGCTCAAAAAAAGCAACTGCACTCTGAGTGCACTTCACTGTGGTGTTTGATGGTGCTCGAGTACAGGAAGACAAAGCGAAGATTGATGGGCTTCATGTGAGACTGAATATAGCCGCGATTGTACAACTGACTTTATTGTTACTGACAAATCAAATGTGATGCAAGATATTAAAAAAAAGAAGAAAATACTGATGAACGACAGCTATGTTAAGAGTGTAAGGACATTATCTATACACCGCTTAATCCTCACTAGGGGAGCTTATCCCAGCTGACTCAGGGTGAAGGCAGGGGACACCCTGGACAGGTCACCAGTCTATCACAGGGCTACACTTAGAGACAGACAACCAAGCACACTCACATTCACACCTACGGACAATTTAGAATCACCAATTAACATCAACATGTTTTTGGACTGTGGGAAGAAGCCGGAGAACCCGAAGAGAACCCACGCTGCACGCTGAACATGCAAAGTCCACGCAGAAAGATCCTGGGTGTCCTCACCAGGACACAAACCAGGGATCTTCTAGCTGTGAGGTGACGGTGCTAACCACCAAGCCACCGTGCAGCCTAAGCGTAATCTTTGGGTACTGAGAAAAGTCACAATTCAGAGAATAAATCCTCAAATTAGATTGACTTTTTGGACACTAATCCTCTTCATTATAGGCGGTGGATTGACAGACTGGTTGAGGCTTTTTTTTTTACAGCCTCAAAAAAAAGAGATAAAAATAACATTAAAAGCAGCAGGATTAGGGATGTAAGTGTTCTAAGTTGATTTTACTGATTTGTTTTGTAAATATGAAATAGCAGAAAATTCGCAAAATACTAAAAACAAATCCTCTGTGTAGTGCCACGAGCAAACTGCGAAAGCAACCGGCCTACAGGTGGTTTCAGGCACAAATGGAAAAGCAGCCCAGACTTTAACCAGGCTCATTAGAACGAAATCTCTGTTCAACCCACAGGCAGCACAAAAATAATTTGTTTGTGAGACAAATGTTATAATGAAGAATCCATGCTGGGAATTGCCACCCCTGGCATTAAAAAATTAACTTTCTGATTGTTTTGTGACAGAACACCTGGGATAACTTTCTCCACTCCCCTTCCTCTATTCACGCACACTTAATCTTACACCCTAGTCATTTAGAAATAAAACCTATTCGCTTTTGTCTGGTTGATATTTCTTCCAATTTTTCTGCGAGGCATTTAGTAGATTTTCATAATTCTTTTTTTTAAAAATGCAATAAAGAGTTGTTGAAAGATACAAATTTCACCCTGTCAGGTCTAATTAAAAATAAAGGCATAGTAAATTAAAAAGAGAACAGATATTATTGTAAAGTTTTGGAGAAATTTCTTCCCGTGGGTGTATGAGTGACAGTAAACACTCTGTACTGCTTATATATAACCGTACTGAAGAAAAATAAGTGCAGTGCCGGCTTACCGAATAGACTGAAGCAATTTGACACACAGATTTAGGATGCGTGTCAGTAAATGCACATCTGATTCAGAGTCTAAAAACTGAACATTAGTCTGGGTCCTTAATCCAGATATATGACATTATCTAAACTAATATTACATGCATGGGCCGATCTTTTAAAGCTCACAGTTTGCCCTGTGTGTGCTGCTGTATGTGCAGGGCTAATGTGTGTGTTGATGCTAATAAACAAAAAAACACCTGAAGTGAGGCTGTGGAGCAGAGTTAATGCTAATGACGCCAGCCCTTGCGGAATAATCAAATGGTAATCGACTTTTATTAGTGGCTTGCTTTAACATAACCCCCGCAGTGATAAGAACATAGCGGAAAAGCTGATAGTTATGAAATATAGCATCCAAAACAGCTCCACACCGGGCAGTAATTAGTTTGAGTTTAGAATGAGCTGCAGTCAGTGTGTCATGATTCGCGTATGAATTCATCAGCAGTCGTCACAGATATGTGTTTGGTGAGCTTGACTTATGACAACCAAAATTAGCTCAAGTGCCAAACCTAAAGACATTCTCGCTTGCACTTCAAGAGATATCGCAACAATAGAATGGACGACAACCCAAAAACAAAATAGATGTAATAAAAACAGTGACAACATGAAACTGGAGCTTTAGTTGCTATGGTATAAAATAAGGGAATGATTTCAGTGTAAAGGCAGTCAATGCCTTTTTTCTGGAGGGAGGAAAATAGGTCTTTATTGACTCTATTACCATTATTCCCGCTAACCTATAAGCACATCGAAATGAAAAACAAAATAAAACACTAACCTAAAATAACCCCGCGGAGCAACACACGAGCATTTTAAGAGCCGACATAAAACCGGGATTGTTTGTCTGTGCCTGAAAAACTGCTAAATTACTGTTGAAAAATGAATCCTTTTTATAATGTGACAAGGCTGAGGCAGGGTCATGGGTACGGTTTGGTTATGTTTAGCCACAAACACAACTTGTTTAAAGTTGGAGAAAATGTTTTGTGTCATAATAATTTAAAGGGACCATTGTCACGAGCTCCAATAAAAACCATGCAAGATAAGAAACTGACGATGACCACATAAAAAATGTGGGGAAAAAAGGAAGCAATAAGAAAGAAAATGACACATGATGTGATAAAACTGCCCCATAATCCTCAGCTGTGTCGGCAGCCTTAAAACTGCGTGACCCGGTTCATCCTTTGAATTCTGCACATACCTGCTTGTCCTTGTCCTTCGCTTTCCCGCTGCCCGGCATCCGCGATTGGTTGACATCACGGGGGATGACAGAGATTTGGTGCAGTGGCATGTTCATCCCAGCAGATCCAACCAGGGACGCTCACACACACACTTCCTTTCCCGCTGCAGGAGCAAAGGGCATGATGGTCCGAACTACGACGCCTTCCCCGCACCACCCTGCAGAGGACACACATCGCATCACAATCAGCTACAGACACGTCTCCTATCGCAGCAGCTGGAGGGCTAAAACTGCAGCTCCACGGCAAGAGACGAGAAATGACAGTCCTGAAGTGGTACAGCTGCAAAATTTTGTCACTTCTGTACACTCGAGAGCGTACAATCTAGCTCGCTCATCACTTGACTGACTTCTGCTGCAGCTAGGATTCTTAAGACTTACTCACGTCCAGAAACTAAATTTATTAAATCAGATTTTGATGAGAGTGGCTCTTTTCGTCCACCTTTGGAGTCGGTCTACTCAGTTGTGAACACATTGAGCACTTTTTACTTATTGTAGCATCACAGTTTGACACAGAATACAGTGACACACCTAGAAAACCAGTAGAAGACGAGCGCTGACCATTTATGTTGAACATGAAACATCCATCCATCCAGTATGACTATGGTCATTTTACTCCTGTTACAAAGCAATATGAGTAATATCACTTCTATACAGTACATGAAATGTGCAATAACTAATCAGGGTGTTTATTATTTTCTTGTTTTTCTACAGAGTGCTTTTTATAATGTGCAATTGTGTGATTCTTAAAATGGATGTTTGTCTATAGCTTCTATGCTGCTGTTACTTTTTTCTTTTTTTTTAACAAAGCTGATTCTGAGAAATGCACAATGGATTCCAATGTACTTCTACTGTAATGTACCCGTACAAAAAGCAATAAACTCTATTCTAGTCCAGGTTCAGGTTGCATTGCAGGCAGCTAAGCAGCAATGTTTTCTAGTCCCCCATAGGGAATCCCAATGCGTTCCCAGGCCAGCTGAGGTATGTAATCCTTTAGTGAGTACTTGGACGAGCCCACAAAACTTCTAAAAGTAAATCGCCCAGGAGGCATCCTAATCAGGTGCTCGAACCACCTCAGCTCACTCCTTTTGAGGCAAAGCAGCAGCTTGAGCTCTACTCTGAGCTCCCTCTGGTTGTCCAAATTCTTCATCCTATCTTTAAGGATGAGCCCAGCTCCCAAATGGAGGAAACTAATTTTGCCTGCTCCACAATCTCGTTCTCTTGGCCACTACCCAGAGCTCTTGACCATAGGTGGGGATTGTACTGTAGATCGACTGATAAATCGAGAGCTTAACCTTCTGGCTCAGCTCCCTCCTCATCATGATGATCTAGCACAGTGCCCACATGATTGCTGAAGCTACGTAACATTAAAAAAAAAAAAAAAAGATATTTGAAATATTTCTTTTTATTTAAAATGGTATCTGCACTTTGTAAATGTGATGTTATTAGAACTGGCTCCTTGGCAGGTGTATTTTGTTAAACTGATAAACTACTATATCTGTTAATTAACTGCAGTTACTTTTTTTTAATCATTTTAAACCACACAGGAACCGTACAAAAGCAGGCCCATGAACTCTCCTTGTTTCTGACCTACAGTGCAGTCTTAAAGAAACTTTCATCTCTCCTCAAACCCCAAAAGCACAGTCATCTCCTGTGATTTTCCACCAGAGAGCAGAGGTTCGTCTGAGAATAGCACAGACTATAATAAATGATCACAGAGGTGATCCCTGAAGTGCGTAATAAATCACTACAGAGGTGTGCAGGAATCCACTTTTTTTTTTTGCCCAAAGACCTGGATTCAGAGCAACGATTTCCACACCAGAGAGTGGAGGTGAGTCTGTCATTCTTGGATAGATTCAGACAGACAAAGTCATGAAAGAAGCAGCAGCAGCAGCGGCAGCAGCAGCAGCAGTATGGGGCTGTCCTGGGGAGTTACACAAGAGGTTTTACAAATGGATCGTTTTAACTTCAGTTAATGCAGCCATCTGTACTGCCACTGACAGCAATTAAGCTTTAGCTCCTTCTCACCACTAGGCTGTATGTGTTTGCACGCGGGCCCGTCTGCCAAGCAAACCCTCAAGCTTCGCAGTACGAAAATGACAGGATTAAGAAACCAAAAAGCAAGTAGACAGATGGGAGGTCAGTAAAATGGCAGCAATCAGAAAGCAGCGTTGAAGAAGGGGGGGAGGTGGGAGGGTGTTGAACTGAGAGGGACACATGGGTTCAGTGAGGAGAGGAGCTTGCAGAGCTGTCACTTCAGTTCATCACTGCACTGTCTCTGATAACTGTTCATCAAGATGGAGAGGTGATTACGCTCATCGCAGCTTCTTGTGAAACAGCTGGCAGTCTCAGCTCCGTCGGCGCCAAAAGAAAGGGGAGGATCATGTGTTGATGAAGACCAACCAGAAAGCACCTCATCAATACATTTCTCTAGCAATGCAGCAAAATGGTAGAATGAGCCTGGACACAGGGTTTAAAGCAAGGAAGTGTCGGACTGAGGCCATTGAGCTACTTTATTAACACAAAATATAGGATTCCTTATGACATACACAGCCATATGCTTTGGTACGCAACAGGGACAGAGAAAATATGCAACAATTGCTGAACTTATTGCACCATTTATCATACAAAAAACAAAAAACTGTAACAACTAGAAGAATCATATGACTTTCAACTTTCAATGGTCTTCAAGCTGCTCATCTATGACGTACTGCTTCATCAGGAAAAAATGGCAAATTTAAGCTTATAATTGTGATTATTCAAAGTCACACTATTCTACATTTTTCATTTTTAAATGTGCCAAAAATAAACTCTTTGCACAAACCAGATTCTGTAAAGAAACAAAAACAAAAGATTCTTACTCCTCAGCACAACTGAGAAACCATGACTGGCTCAGCAGTGACCAACAGTCATGTGGAAAAAAATCAGGGACTTTCCAGCAGAAGTGGGCTGAACTGCAGGCTGTGCCTACGAAGCAGATAAGAGGCAAGTATGGAAACAATTTAAAACAGAAGTAGTAAAATGTCTATAGCATAGAGAGCAACCAACCCTTTCGCAGGATTGGTGACACCTTTGGGGAAAAATTGTGAATATTTTGATTCCAGGTCCTTTCCTAGTTTGTAAAATAAAAATTTCAAGTTTCTAAGTTTTACATTCTACTGACGTTTTTTCTTTTTTTATGACTTATGGCAGTTTAAAAACACACAGGACATGTTTGAGTTCTCTCTATTTCTAGCCAAGGTTGTGCCGTTTCTACATTCTACAATATCCGGTAGCGCTCAAAATGATAACACTATCTGAGGAAACCTCTGTTTTATGCACTATGTCTGCTCCTACTGATTACCTCATATGGCTGTTTAATCTGTTTATAATTTTTATGAAGGCTTTCACCTGAAAGATAGGTTGTTAAAAACAGATAATAAAAGTTAACATTGTAAAGCACAGCTGCAATACTATAAAACATGTCTTCGGAAGAACTGTTCACATTGATAAACACTTGAAGATGCGCCTAAACCTACCAGCTGTATATCTTCTGTAGAAGGACTTCCATCAGACTCCCTACCAGCATCATTAAAACACACAGCAGTGTTTCAGAATTTATGCGAAGGAGCACTGAAGCTTTTTTTTTTTGCAGGCTTTTTCCCGGTTTTGCTATTATGCATGTCACCCATCTCTACTCAATGTTTAGAAGGTAGCTCCCTGAGTTGAGTTTACACAGTAGCAAGGTCAGCTCAATACCACAATGTGGAAAAAGTGTTTTCAGGAAAGGAGCACACTAAAGATTGACTTTTTTTTTTATTTTATTTTTTTTTATCTGAACTGCTGATACCAGTTAAAAAAAAAAAAAAAGTGTTTGTTGTGAAACACAAAAGGAGTTACACAGCACAGTCTCCCAGAGGAAAAAAAGCATTTATTTTTGACGATTCTGTGCACAATTTGCCAAGCTATTGCAGGAGGTAGCGTGCCCTTTACTATATGTAGAGGTCGGGACGGTGGAGTTCTTCAGATGCTGGTGCAGAGATGACTCATATTCTTGAATGATGTTAAAACCAAACCTTCCTTTTGCAGTTATAAAAGCCTGTTATGGTGCTGTAGTTACATATGTTAGCTTTTGGCTGTCTCACAAATAAATTGAGGAATCTGTGTGCGTGTGTGTTTGTTTGTGTTGTTTGCTTTCCTAGACCACTGCTCATCCAGTCTACTTCAAACTTGGCGGGTGTATCGTTGGAGGTCTGTGGAAGTGCAATGTTGAGTTTGAAGTTGTTTTGATGAACACTTCTCATATTTCATCTTGTTTTCTGATTTGGCTGCCTGTGGGCGGCGCATAAGTCATCCACGTTGCTTAGCAACATCAAAGGCAAAGCAGTCGTATTAAATAAGTTTCAATTCTGATCAGCCAACATTTCAAAATCATTCACTCATGGAATTCACATGAGCCCAGTCACAAGACAACAACACATTGTGAACCGAACAGAAAGCACACAGTTTTTTGGTATCGAGACAAATGTGAAAAAAGGCATCATGTGTCCAAAAGTGAATCCAAAAGGGGGAAACAACCGGCCATCCACAGTAAATGGAGATGCCTCAGTCGGTCAACTGCTGGACAATAACATCAAACCACTAGGAGGTGGATGACCTGAACTTCTGCCTGCATCTCGACAACTTAGATTTTCCTGCACTCCAGTGAGAACAGGTTGAAAACGACACACAGCACGGACAGAAGGACAAGTCACAGCTCCTGAAGTACCTGCTGCAGCTCCCAATCTGTGTGCTGCAGCCCACAAACCACAGTCTGCTGTGGCACTCCAATCTAAGCCTGCTGGAACTCCTAAACTTTCCTCAGCTTCTGAAGTGCAGCCTGGTTCAACACCCAAACTGCTTGCGGCAGGCCAAGAGGCACAGGTTGAAGAAACACCTGCACAGCCTGAAACATCATCCAAACTGCACCCAGCTGCTCCCAGGTTGCAGCCTGCAGCAATTCCTGAACAGGCTACCATGATGTCCAACTGCAGACTGCAACAGTGACTAAACATCCTGTCGCCACACCCAAACTGTAGCCTGTTGGAACACCCGGACAGCACCCTGCAGCAGTTGAAAATCCAAAGTGCCAGACCAACTGCAAAAACACAGGCTGCTGTAAAGCCTGAAGTGCTTCTGTTTT